GAGAGAGAGAGAGGGAAGGATAGAGGGCGTCTCGAGCTCCATCTATGAAAAACGGTCACGTCCATTTGGATCAGCTCTTTCGAAACGATTCCATTGTGTGTATATATATATATAAAACACTTCGTACGCTTTGCGTCCAATTTCTATTACGTATTTACGAAAATTATTCGTACGATATCGTCGTGCTGGCGAGTACAATGAGACGGATTTTAAAAGAAGACGGCGTGTGAACGCGTCTCTTCTCCTCGGGGAGAAGATTTACGTGCGATAACTAACTACTGCCGCGCATGCGTCGGGTAAAACGTTAAACGTATTCGGTTTGCGGCGTCGCGTTGAACGGAAGGAATTCCGTGGAAAAGTATACCCGATGAAGAAGAAAAACTGAGGGAGAATCATCATCGCGGGAAATATGAGAAAAAGGGGGACGAATTTTTATTCAACGAATTTCAACGAATTTGGCGGAGAGGAGACAAGGAAGGAAGCAAGGAGGGGAGAAAAGGTTAAACGTTGTTTCCACCGCGCGCATTTTCATGGATTCGCAGGCGCGACGCAATTTCATTGAAATTTGTTGGGTAGGTTGGAAATTTTTCGCGGCGGATCGTGGGCAGAAACGGGCGCAATTAGTCAGCCTCATGGCTCATCGACTCCCGGTATTTTACACACGCACGTGTGTACGCGCACGTACGCGGAATTGCAGCGGCCGCGTGCACCGATGCATGATCGCCGAATCCTCTCCTCCCTCTCTCTCTCTCTCTCTCTGTATTTTCAACGAGAGAAACAACACCGCTGCATTCGTGTTACCAACGAATTACTATCTCGTTAACACGGTTATGTACACGGTGTTCGCGCGCCGCCTCTGTCTCCTTCCACCTGTTATATATATATATTGTATTGTTTGCGCTCGTTGCTACGTCGAAACCTGAAAAAAAAAAAATATCGTATACGAGAATTACCGCTATCCGGTTGAAATATCGCTTTAATATCGCGCGAATTAACAACGTGGAAACGAGTGTACCGAACCTTACCGATTATTATCATCGTTTAACGAGGACCGTACTTTTTTAAAAAATCTTGTTTACGTCGCGTTTCGAAAAATCTTATAAATCGTGTGTTTTTTAAAACTCGCGATTATGAACTTTTATGAATAATACGAGGATCCTCGTTCGTAAAAAGTGGAACGAAAACTAATAAATAAGATTTCGGGGAGGGGGGAGGACGCGGACAATAAGGCTTGCAGGATATTTACACACACGGTTTGAGCAGCCTTGATGATATTGTAAAAAGAGAGGGAGAGAGAGAGAGGAGGAAGAAAACTCGGTGTCGCGAGGTAACAATGCTCGCGCGCGTGCTTTTTACGTGCATTGTTGTTGACACGCGTTGAAAGCGTGGTAGGAAAAATGCAGTGACGTCGTTGACGAATGAGGAAGAAAGGCTGCGAACCCTTGTGTGACGGGAAAACGCGAACGGGAGGGGGAGGGAGAAAGGAGAGAAAAGGAGAGAAGCGATACAACACGCTTTTTGTCTCTCCCTGTACGTCGAATGCGTACGAGCCGTTTTAAACCTGAAAAACGAAAGCGAGATAAAACGACGTTGTTTCACACCCATTGCTCCATCCCACTGTTCATAATCACTCGTCGTTACATTTCGATAATTTGGCTCGACTTTGACTTGCTTTCTTCCCTGTCGACGAACAATTGACTTGAAATTATTCCAGAAAATAGAATGTTTAACGGAAACTTTTTTTACATTTCGATAATTTGACTTGCTTCGCCGTCGACGAACAGTCGACTTGGAATTATTCCAGAAAATAGAATGGTTTAACGGAAACTTTTTTTTCCTTTTTCTTTTCTCGAACTTATCGTTGGTTACGCAGACGTAATAAAGCGAGGAAGTTACGATCTCTGCTCGGTTCGGTACTTAAAACCAGTCTTTGACTTCGGCCAGGGGGTGGCGGTAGTGTTCTTAAATGGCTCGAAGCGTTAATAGTTGCGCGCGTATAGCCAGTGATGAGTAAAATTTAATAGGTACGGAGTTAGGAATAAAGTTAGTTCGATAAGATTAGCTCGATAATTTATCGTTCAGAAACGTAATAATAATAATAATGATCGCGAATAATGCCAAACGATGCGAGAATAATGGTTACGAATAAACGTTATTCGAACGTTTTAATAAGTGAATGATTTAAGGTAACTTTGTTCTAGAGATTTTTAACTAGTTACTTTTAGATTTTTTACCAGTTACCCACAGTTATCTGGTCACGGATAATTATCTTCGTCGAGTAGGAGAAAATTTCATGAAAATTAATAAGCAAATTAATGTTCGTCACATGACACGACGGCCTATTGAAAAAAGTTGATTTGCTTCGAACGATCATCGAAATGATAATTCATTGTATTTATAAATGTGTCCAGCAAAATTTAATAGCCGAAGTTACCTCGATGATGTATCGTTGAAAACGTAATAGCAATTGCAAAAATAATCGTAATGCCAAGATTATACGAAAAGGGGATCGACTATAATAACTATAAATATTATTCAAGCATTTTAACAAGTAATTACTCGAACTAACTTTATTCGAAATTTTTAACCGGTTATTTTTTTCAATCTTTTCAATGTCCAACACACGCGCATATATTTACATATACATTTAATAATAATAGCATCACTGGGATACGTATTTCTACGTTATTATATTCGCACGATATATACGAGATCTGTGTAACACTGTATTCGTTTCGCCGCTCTTAACGATCCAGCCAATCAATCGAGATTCCGCATAATCGTTCACCACGTTGCATATGCATCTGCCCATTTTCGATCCCGTTATACTCCTCGTCCTTTCTTTCTTCCCTCCTATCCTCCCTCTCTCTCTCTCTCTCGCGCGCGCGCTAATTTTTTTTCGCAATTTTATTGGGCGCGCGATGAAATTCACACGAGAACCGGAGCAAGAGAGAGAGAGAGAGAGAGAGAGAGAGAGAGAGAGATAGAGAGAAAAAATTCTCCGTCGGTAAGCCAGTTCGTAAAGGTTCTTAATACGAGCCATTAAGGTGACAAATTCGTGGAATCAATAATAATTCTTTATCGCTGACGAGAGAGAGAGAGAGAAAGAGAGAGATAGAGAGAGAAAAAAAGGACAATAAAAGGATATTTTTATAACTCTTCTCTCAGATCTGCCATACAACGCTCGCGTATTATGTTTGGAAATTGAAGTGAAAGTCAAGAAGAGGAATCGCGTCAAGCAAGAAAATTCATTGTTCTCGTTGCGACGACGAAATTACGATCGTATAAAATTACATACGCGATAATATAACTGTATATAACAATACGTTATTTAATGAAAGAACTTTTTAATCAACATGATTTCCGACTTGAAAAGTGTTGTAATTAACGTGACATTTTCAATCGTTATTACAATGGTACGAGGCAGCTTGCTCACCATTCATTCCCGAAGGAGATGAAAAAATCGAAACGAAAAAGGAGAAGAATTTTTTTTCTTCCCCTAGAAAATTTAAAACAACGCAGCCAAAGAAGAATAAATATATAATACATATATATATATATCTAAAAGAAGTTTTTCGTTGGAAATGGAAATGTGAAAGTTTAATCCGCGAGAAACGCATTCGATATGATTCAACGACCGATTGCGTAATTTCGTTGTGCGAACAATCGCACGGGTGCGTTTGCATATCTGGCAGGAAT